ATCATAACAGTTGTGGGCCGCAAAATAAGAACAATGAACGATGGTGAACTAGATTGTGGAACATCAACACTTTGATCTAATGTATATAAGAGTCTGGCGACCACACCTGAGCAACAAGTCCATCCTTGACAAACAGAAGAACAGACAGAGCAACACACGGGAGGTAGGTCAGAGGTTACCCAGTATGCATTTCATCTGATAGATTGCCTCCTGAGAGAAAAGTCACAGGAGAGATGTGGAGACACTGTGGAGAAGAGACAAGCTGGCTGAGCTCTCTGAACTGAAATGTCAACATCACACGCTGAATCCCCTTCGCCCTCACTTTTGACAGCCGTTTGAATTATTCAAAAGCTCATGTTTTAACCACAAGAAACATTTCAAATTATCGCAGGTATCATCTTAACCGTGTCAACCGTTAAAGGACAAACAGTACTTGAGCTTTTAATGTTTTAGCTCATTAACTTCAAAGTGTGTAGAATGATCTCCAGCCTTCCAGGCAGCCACTGGTTTCTGTCCAAAAATCAGCTTACAGATTACAGAGACTTGAAACTTATGTGAGATATGAAATCCATTACAGTCAGCATTTTGGATTCCTTGAAGTGTTGAAGGAAAAGTTCCGATGAAATGTGTTTAGTACTCCCTAGCTCTCTTTGGTCTCAGAAAAAGTTCTGTATCAAATTACGTTAAGGAGAGCAGAGAGCCCGGAAAATGAATTCTGAAATTTCAAAAAAATCCTATTTATTATTAAAGTGTCTTGTATCCAGTCCTGGGCTTTAGGAAATCCAAACACAACTATATACGCTAAACTAAAAAGCATTCCATGTGAAGGTATATTGTTGTGTGGATGCCTGCCAATACTGCAGAGGAATTTTCAGAAAGTCTTTTGGAAGTTTTACATCTTTTTTTCAGTCTTTTGTTGTGCCTCCGTCAAAGTCTGTTTGCATTGATATCCTTTCCTTTTTCAGGTGCTCTGCCCTCCATTCAATAGATTTTTTTTTCTGCTACCATAGAGCGCCTAGGGAGATGAGTACTATATGCAATTTATATTGTTTTCTGGGAGAACTATTACTTTAAAGTGAGGACCAATTCTGACATATGAAAAGTTACAGCAGAGACGACCTGCCACATAACCAAACAATGAGAAAGCTGTTGTGAAAAGGCTAATAGTATTGTAGTCATGCATTGCTTGTATATAATGAACAAGTACATCAAAATTGGATAAGTGCAGTACTTTAGTAAAAGTATTTAGTGACATAGAGTCAGACCTCTGCTCAGGTTGAAAGTGAGCAAAGCAACACTGGAATTACTTAATTATTAATGAGAATGATAAAGAGGTTATTTGTCCAATCAGGTGGGGGGGGGGAGTTAGAGATGTCTGAACACACTCACAGGGCCCTGAGAAGAGAATCCCTTTGCAACTCCATGTTTTGAGAGGGGGCTGTTTAAATATAGTTATTGCATTATAATGTTACTTACTGTTTCCCCCTGCAAACACGTTGTTGTTGTCCGAATCAGTGAAATGTCTTTTCTGCGAGCAGAAAGCTTAAGAAGTGCTGACTCAAGTGAGGATTGCCAACGCTGACGTTAATATGTCGAGCTCGAACAGTTGCCCTGCAGTTTTTGACTTTAGCTGTCATTACCACAGAGTTTGTCTGCAGCTGATCCGCACTAATCCGCAGCTTTGATGTGATGTGTGCATGTATATCCACTTGCATTATCATTACACACTGTAGGCTCCACATGCTCTCTGATGTTAGGAAACAAACTGCAGACACTTCCCGAATTTGGCAAAACATCCCTCTGACAAGTGTGTTTGTGTATTTCTACTCTTGTGAGTTTTAAAGAGTCTGAAAATGTTCATTGTACTCCAGAAAGAATGACTTACTGCTGATTCTGCTTTTCTTCGAGCCGTACCAAGTTTGTCCCGAGGATGCAGTTACAATGTTGACGCGTAGTCACTTCCTAATCAGCATTGGAGCTGGCTCTTGGGGAAAAATATCAAATTTGATCTCTACTCATCTGTTCCAATTAAAAATTCTCGGTGTATGAGAGCAGCAGGTCGTGCCTTAAACTCCTATGTGGGACGTTGATAAAATGCACCGTCACTCTGATCGAATTCATTTCATTTCCTGTTAAATGGATGATTATGACTCCAAACCATCTGAGAAATAATGTGTGGAAATGTGGGATTGATTACCAGAAATGGAAAAAATTGGGATAAATGTAAGGCTGTTCACAAACATTTAAAAATGCAGCTGTCTTCCAGTGGTTTCAGACCAAACACACAGAGTTTGCATTAGCTAGTGCACAGAATAAAGAGCAGCACATGAACCTCCAGAGAGGCTAACTATGAAGCACTCTTCTACCCTGGTATCCCTATCCTCTCTGATATTACCCTTCCTGCTTAAATGTTCCTCCGGCTCCAGCATTGGCATCTGATCAGCTGATGCAACAATGCACCAAAATGACAGTTTAACTATAACAACATCATCTTCATTTCATCAAATACAAACAGTCTCAACAATCCTCGCGGCACCCTGTTTTGTTTGTTCCAAGAGATAATATATCCCATATTGTGCGCCACAAACTCTACATTAATCTTCTCTGCAAACAGAGAACAGCAAACATGTTCAGCAGTGTTTGTTTCTACATGTCATCTGTTGTTCAGATTTTTTGATCTGGTGTTATAATGGAATACAATATTGCAAATTGTAGCATTAAGGTTCTTACTGCTCTACTGCCAGCTACGTGATCTACCAGACAGAATGGAATGAGATGATTTCAACAACCTTAAAGGGAACAATGGTTTGTCTCTGTCTGTTCTCGTACTTTGTTCTCATCTACTGTATCATTTTGCTGCGGCAGTGCGTCAAGTGCCTGAACAGGGATCATTGAAAACGTGACATTCAACCCAATTCCCTTGTGCTGGTATCACCTACACCTACAACTTCAATACCTCATCCAGCGATGAAACAAATGATATTCCACCGCCCTTCATTTCTCCTGTCAAATATGACCAATTCAAACATTCAGGGAACATCATGCACCCTTCATTCTCAGTTCATATCAACTCTGTCAGTCCGTCTCATATGATGTGTGAGCTTACTGCCCTCTGCTGTTCATGCACAGAGTCAATTTTTAGTATAGAGCACAGCAGAAACCAAAAAGGTGGTAAAGTTGCAGGCCCGATAACCAAAATAACTAGAGAAGTGCACTCATTAAAGTGCAGATCTCCGCCAGCTGTGTCTGCAACAACCACTGCTGTACTGTGTGAATGAATAAACACAACCCACAACCCACAACCCCCACTAGACTGTAATGGGCTATAAGACATCATCAAACACATTTTATTCAAACTCAAAAACAAGCAGCAATGTATGCATGCATGATGTACTCAGCAGTATGTGTACTGGTAGCTCCGTTAGCTGTTAGCCAAAGACAACAGTCCATAATACTAAAAGTGAGCTAACTGGTTTCTCCCACTGTCTCTGGCCGCAAAGTAGCGTCTGAGAGGCGGCGATGCACTCAGCTGCATGATGCACTTGCGGCCACCTACCTACCTTGCCTAAGAGTAGTGTGTGAGGAGTCAGCAGGCAGTCAACAGCAGTATTAAACAGGCAATAGAAGGTGATTTGAAAAAGTCTGAGTCACCGCGACCACAAGAGGTCCTCGAGCATGCAGCCATAACTGTTCACCCAAAATGTTCTGCAGTTTGCGGGCGCAGAATGTGAGATTAGTTGTGGACAGACGTGGACTACTTCTACCGAAGTAAAGGATCCGAGTACTTCAGGTGTACAATAAATAGTCAACTGCAATGTTAACTGACATTTAGTCTTTATTGTGGTCTCAAAAAGTACAACACGGACAAATGAAGCACGCAATAACAATATCTATTCTGACTTTAGGCTTTACTGAAGAATACAGAATGCCGTGTCAGTGGCAATGAAAATACCATCATGCAGATTGTGGTCATAAAGGCCGTTTTAAAGCAGAATATACAGCAGCATGTAGCTAACTTCATCTACAGTATCGTATACTCCTAATACCACAAATTACTGGTTTATTATCATAAAGGAAACTGCATTTTTGTTTCAACAATTAGTGCAAAGCTGACCATAGCAAAGCAAAACAAGATGCAAGCAGGAGATGAAACCAGCACTGACATTCACTGAAGTAAACAGCTGCATGATATTGACAAAAAAAAAGCATTGACGTTCACTTTAGTGGGACGAGGACACTCAACACTATAAAAACACAATCAACAGTGCAAGCATGGCGGTAAAATGATATCGTACATTTGTCAGAGCTGTCAGCATCACACATGATGTGAATGCTCATTAATGTTAAATACAGTGGTCGCATGTTTAAGTGAAGAAAACAGGGCTGTGAGGAAGTACACGTGTCAGATGATTAATCATCAGTGAAAAGGAAGAATATTACTCAGAGCTCAGATAACGATCAAACTAACCCTCCATAGACAATCAGTTGGATGGTGAATGTTTTTCATCTACTGCAGTGGCTCCAAACTGGGGGTCAGGACGCCCAAAAGACGTAGCAAATCACTCTTTGGTCACAACCAGTCAGGCGGCAACCTCAATGCGGACGTGACTTAAACTTGCATTCTTTCTAATGGCCAGCAGGAGGCGACTCCTCTGGTTGTATAGAAGTCAATGGGAAAATGATCCTATACTTCTCAATTGATTTATTATCTCAGTAAACATTGTAAACATGAGTTTATGGTCTCAATTGCTAGTTTCAAGTCTTCTCCATTACAGCATGATGTTCATTTAGTAAATTATGATCCATTTAGGGTCAAACAGACCATAAAGCAGAGTATGCTTTAGGGCGGGGCTACCTTATGATTGACAGGTCGCTACCACAGCGTTGTCCAGTTTGGGAGTTGTTTATATCGACTCCTATAAGCAAATTGATTTCACATTTTTTGTTTACAGTAATTTTAGTTTTGTGATATATTTGGTGTTATCTTCTCTGTGCGGTTACTGATGTGGATCAGGACACTCCTAAAAAAAGATATTTCTAATCTAGGAGGAGCTTTCTTGGTGTAACAAAAACTAAAATTATTGAAAAATATGCTTGCAGTCCACAGTAGGAAGCTGACAGTGAATCTAAGAATTCCACGTTACTAAAACATCTTTTTTTTCTGTGTTGACTGGCCGATCAACGTCTCCATCTTTAGTATTTTAGTGTTTTCACTGTCAGCTCTCTATTGTATGACTCACCTAATACATTCTCTATTGAGCAGCTCTACATTTAATGTCTTATTTCTCTGGTTGCTGCAGATGCTTGTTAAAGCTTCTGTGTGTATCATTGTTTCGTATATTAATACATCTTGAGCTGAGTTAATACTTTACTGTGAGATACAAAAGATCATGGTGGAGAAAAAGTAAGACCACATTCACACTAAAGAACATTATGATCCTCCATCAACCCCTTCCTGCTTCCTGTCAGTCCTACATGTCTTGGACTTTACAGAAAAGAACAAACGAGTTTGCACTTCCAGATTTTCCCCTAAATTTGAACATTGTAAATGCAGTGCAGCTATTGTCCAGGGACATTTGTTTCCACTAATTACACTGATATCTTAAAATAAATATTGTAATAATTTACTTCTATTAAACGCTACATGCAGCAGCTGTGGAGTGATTAGAAATCCAGCTCTGAGTTAGAAAATAAAACAAATACTTAGGCACGAATGGTGCAAATCAATACACGTTTAAAATAAATGTGCAGTGAAATGAATGTGAATTATTGCTTTGGCTGATACAACAGTGGACACAGTGTCACATTCAATGAATTTAAATAGAGTTAAACAATCGTGAATGTGAGCATGTGAGGAACATTCAAAACAGAAACTCTGCATGGGGTCAAAGCAAAGGCAAGGACATTCTGCAAACCTGTAAAAACAAAAATGTTCGAGAATATTTTCAGATTATTTGTCTGGATGTTAATAAAAACAGTTATGAATCGAAGAAGAGAAGAAGCTCTTTTTTCATCCAAACTGGGAACTGTGCTGCCTAATTCCGCTGAGTTAATGTTTGTGACTCAACGGAACAAGTTTTCAAATATTCATAAACATTGCAGGTTTACAGGTTTACAAAACGTACATTTAAGCTCACAAGAAACAAACTGCTGCTGTGATTGTAAGTTCTCCACATTCGATATTTTGGCAAGGAGAAGTCTTCGGTGTTGATGTCACATTGACATGAAAAGTACAGTACAATCTATATATCGATCAGCTAATACAGACAAAGCTAAGAGATGAACTGGCCCTATATTGTTAAATAGCTTTTGATTGAATCAGTGCCAGCAACATTTCTTTTCTGCTGCATTCAAACTTACATTATATATCTATAGCTCTTCATTTTGAATACAAAATATTTGTATTCCACACATTTGACTGTGTGTCTGAATTTGCCAAAATATTCTGAACTGATGAGCACAACGTTGCAATCTCTAACAGGGATTTGTTTATTTTTTTTGGCTGAGAAAGTAAATTTGGTTTGTTATGAGAATAAGCACAGGGTCCATAACTGAGGTGTAATGGCTGTGATACAATCGTTATGACTAATTAAAGCAATAATGATGAGTTGTGGGGTGCAGCCTCCTCATGCACAGCTACAATCGCTATGGTCATCTCTGATGCTGGTGGTGTAACGCTGCAGTGAGGGCATAGAGGCAGTGTGTGGGTGTACATATGTGTGTGTGTGTGTGTGTGTGTGTGTGTGTGTGTGTGTGTGTGTGTGCATGTGTGTGTGTGTGCATGTGTGTGTGTGTGCGTGCGCGCGCGCAGCGGCTAAGTGAGCTTTTGGCAGTGATGCGACATGACGTTAGCTGGGACGAGGTGGGCTGAGCAGAGAGGGAAGAGTCTCCCCAGATGTGTCCAGCTGTTTAAGGAACCATCTATGAGAGGGTAAAGGGTTTTCAGATTTAATTTTTTTTTTGGTTGGCCTACCGGACATCCAGGAGAGACCTCGTGGGGGAATGAAGGGTTCAGTGAGGGCGGTGGGGGGAGAGGGGAGAGAGTTTAGAGGTTGACCAGGTGGAGGTTGGAGGCGGAGAAGTGGGGGCACAGAGCCATGTCCGGGTTCTTCAGCTGTCGCAGGATCCTCCGGTGGAACTTGGAGCGAACCCGGTTGAACTCCATAATGTCGCTGGGATCCTCCTCGATCCAGAAACGGTGAAATTCCTGCATCAGGTAACCTGCCATGAAGAAAATAAAATAAAATCGTCCTTTATGTTCTTTGGAGTGACTATGATCAATATGTTTCATATTAATTATGGATCAAATGAAAACTTGTATGTGAAAAGTGTTTCTTATAGTGATGAACCTAGAGAGAATTATCCCCCAACTGAAGTTAGCATCAGCTCTATGGAGCTTCATAGCCAAAAAAATATCTTTCAGATCTTTGTTTTGGTTTCCAGACCCACAATTTTATTATTTTTACTATTTTATTCTGACAAAGTTAGCAACTAGCTTTTCTCAACTTTTCTCAAAAAAACAAGAGCAAAACTTGTCACTTGCAATGTTCACTAAAATGTATTTTAAAAGCTTACTCATGCCCACCAGTTTTCATTATTCAAACTGCAAAACATTTATTCATAAATAAGAATAGTAAGTTTGAGAGACAATAGTCGGCCGTAAATGTCAGCCAGCCAGAGCCCCAACAGGTCGCACAAAGCCAGCAGTCTTCACATCTGTTTGTGGACCTAAATGGACCCCCTTAGGACATTGTCTTTCCTCTTCTTAGATACCAGGACGGCAACTAAAATAGGACAATTCAAGGTCTGTGTGTTTTTGGTTTGTGGGCCCGGTAATATTGACAATTTGGAGTCAATTTCAGCTTTTTGAAGATGAATAAGCCAAACAAAAAGTTGATGTAATCTTAATTAATATCTGAGTTTGCAGGAAAAGTGAACTCACAGAAGGTCTGCTGGAAGTGCTGCAGGCTCGGCATCTCTGGGGCCACATTGTACAGGTGGGTCTTCAGAGCTCCGCTCACCATCAGAGAGTAGGCCAGGTCTGTGATGTTGATGCCCACAATGGCAAAAGAGTATCTGGAGGGAGGAGATCAAAAAAATATAGGCGTTAGTTTGTCGGAAGTTTGAGTTTGTTAGATGGTTTTAATAGGGGAGTGTGAGAGGTGTGTTTTTTAACAGATTTTATCAGACATCACTTCCCATAAACCCTAGACATTCACTGATTACTGTGAAAAACTTGGAAATGCTGGTGGACATTAAAGATATGGACGAGACCATTTGGCTACTTTAGGCACTCCAATTCTATATGTTTTCAGTGTAAGCCTCAGAAGTCAGAAGCCTCTTTTTTGTTAAAGCTCAGTCATCCCTTACCTCCCTACCTTCACCTCAAGGCAAAGTACACATGGTTCAAATGTGTGGGAAGTGGTACCAATCCCAAACTATCCCTTTAGTGCGCCCACTGCCACAGTAAAAATGACTTGCAGTTCACAGCTTGCTGCTCTGCTGGAGTGTCCTCACAAAGGATTTTGTGTGTTTTAGAGTCAGACATTGCTTATCAAAGATAAGGCAGACTGGAGGCAGAAGGCAGCGCAGGAGGGCACACAGCAGTAAAACACTTCCTACATATAGACACTCACGTGGCCACATCACAGAGCCTCTCTGCTACTCTGTATTGAGGTCAAAACGCGCAGAGCTCCAGCATCAGTAGCCCAGTTTTGCCTCCTCCACACACACTCAGGTACGCCATCATACAGCACATGTGCACACACTTACCCGATAGCTTTGTCGATGTTCTTCTGTTCCCATTCAGGCTTGTTTATCTCACTGTGAAGGACACAACACTCGAGTCACGTACTGTCTACATGTGAAACAGCACTGAGTGCACTGCAGACCCTTATGAGACATCTTTAAATTACAATGAAGTAACATTTTCAAACTGATGCATTGCTTGTGGAAAGACTGTTGAGACTGGAACAGATTGTTCTAAAGACGTATAAAAACATAAACTCACATATGTCACTTTCTTAAAATGGGTTTAGAATATTATTTGATGGTCTTTATTTGTCTGTGCAACATAAGGTCAAGAGTATAGCGTTGCAGTTAAGCAGTGATGGAGTCAAGTCCTCAAACAGCACATCCATATATTATCCATTGTGTTATATAAATACATTTTCAAAGCATTTGTCAGTGTGATGAGATGACCGAGTACAAATAGCATGTACGTAAATGGTGCAGCTTTAAATGCGTGAAACATCAGCCCAAAAGAGAAAGCTATGAATGCAGTGAAAAGAATGAAAGTGAAATCAAGTACCTTGGTTTTCTGTGTGTGCTCCTACAACAGTGCATGTGAGAGTCAGAGAGGGAGGCATGGGCATAAAGGTGGAGGTGGAGGTGGAGGAGAAAAAGAAGAAGGATCTTCATTCGTGAAATGAGACAGCTCACTGAGATGCCGATGACAAACAATATGAGCAGCAGCAGCAGCGGCGGCAGTCGGTAAAAGAAGGCGCAGTGAATGACAGAAAGCTGTAAGAATGAATATAATGTGGTGAATGCAGAGTTATCGATGATTCAGCGCAGTTTAAATTTGAAGGGATACACCGCATGTCAGGTAGAAAGATTATAACGCCGTATTTAGTGATGTTGTTGGCCACATGGGGGAGCATAACAAGCTGAAAACCCAAAACAATTTACCCCCAAAAAAAGCCTGGTAACACTGAGTTGGTGATAATAATCTGTGGGTTTGTCACTTTGAGCAACTTCTGTCACATCACATGAAGTCACAGCCTCCAATCTGCTTTGTTGTTGGATGTTATAGACCCTGGTGATCTGTAAGGATGTGAGCGCTATAATTGCCATGATTTTATGGATGACTAAATGTATCTTTGAATCTTGAGCTATTGAGCTCTTCTGTTGTAAGGTTGGTTTTAGCTGTACATAGTTTCAATGAACCATCTGCTATAAATAGATGTACATTCTAGCAGGGTCGGTTTCTCACCAAGTCGCTTTACATCTGCTAAAAACTCACATTTGCTCAGTTTTACAGTGCCACCCTGGAGACATTGACTACAGTCGACCAGAGAGCCTTTCTACCCAAACACTCAGTGCATTCCTTTAATTTTATTATGCTTTGGATAAACGTTGAGAAAAAGCGTTGGCTGCCATACTTGTGCTTTGGTTGCAGGGAGTCGTGGAGCATCTGCAGAGCAGTGGTTTTATCATGTTCTGCGAAATACCTGCAGAGAAACAAGAGAAGATTCCAGAGAAGGGAATTAAAGAAACACATAGTTGGTGTATTTCTAGACGAATAACTATGTATTGTTAAGTAGAGTTCTTAAATAGCTATTGTTTCACTGCATATTTTGTTGTAATGTAAAGGTCCAAATATAAATATGTCTTCTATCCCGGTAGAGTGTTGTCTTTGGATTGTGATCAGAGTGAGCTCACAGCAGGTTGTGCAGGCCCAGCAGGCCCATGCCTCTGAAATCAGTCTTGGGGTCGCTGCCTTGGAATCCAATTTCACACCACTGTTTAGAGATGCGAGCGGTGAGAGGGGCGTCCGGACGCAGCGCCTTCCACAGCTGCAACACACACACACACACCTAACATTATAACTTATGAGCTTTCTGAGTATAGGAACATTTAAATACATACTTCAAGGAGTAGTTCGACATTTTGGGAACTACAGATGTTAGGATAGACCATGGACAGTTCACCCATCAACCACAGGAGGTTCAATAGAAATAAATATAATCACCCCTGTTGTTATGATTCTTTTTACACATACAAAGCCACAGAGAGCTGCGTACCTTCATCAGCATGTCCTCGTGCTCGGGGTTCTCACAGTCATAAGGCTCCCTGCGCAGCTTCTCCACCTCCGCCACCAGACTCCTGTAGCCCACAATTTGCAGCAGGGTGGCCTGGAGAGAGATGCCTAACCTGGGGGACACGCGGGGAAGAGGAGGCGGCTGTTTGCATGAGGGATATCAGAGCTATTAATGAAGTACAATCACAGTACTTTATTAACAGCTAGTCTGAGGATTCAATGTCATGACACTGATTTACCACCACACCCCAACGTGAGTGATAAAGTCACAGAAATGTGTTGATGTAATGCAGCGTCTCACTGTGGGTTGGTGTCAGGGTTGATCTTCTTCAGCGCCATGATGTCGTCAATGGTTTTCTCCACTTTGTCAGGATGGACGCTGAGGGCAGACTGCAGCAGCTAGAGAGGACCGAAAGAACAGAAGGATGGCGGAGACGAGGAGGAGAAAGTGGGATTTGATGTAAACGGCCTGAAGCTAGAAAATTGAGTATATTTATAGATTTAGAGAGCCGTACCTCATTCTTGGAGTACCTCAGGGACGACTCTGGAAGGACATGGTTGCAAAGTGTAAGACAACGGCATACATTAGCATTATTACTATCATGATTATTATGAGGAATATTATTTGGTCCCAAAAAAAAGCTAAATATATTTTGAATATGGTTCAGGAAACCTTAATTTGCAAAAACACCAATCCTGGGAATATCAATCAAACTGGTGTTGGTTTATTCTTTGTTAAGAATGTTTTTTATCTGTTTTTGCAAACAAACTTTTCAAATGTGCTTTTAGATATGAAATTAAATATTGACGTCATCAATCAGTGTAAAGCTGTTTTATACACGAGTTAACTAAATAAATGTCGGGCAGCGTGTGGGCTTACCGATCTTGAGTGTCCTGCGAGCTCCATGGTTGTTGTTGTAGCAGATTCGCTGCAGCTCGCAGCGCCCCGTAAACTTCCTGGCGACAAACTTGAGGCCCCGCCACAGACATTTACAGTAGAGGAACACGAAGAACTGGGTCACCACTCTGGAGAGGAGAAGACGAGAGGTGCCTTAAGACCATCGAATATTTCACAAAGATTCATTCTGGAGGCTCAGACCACCACGTAGGCCACCAAGGCTTTCTTGAGAAACAATCTGTCTGCTATGTGTAAAATGAATTTTCTCTTAGAGAAGAAAAGTGAGTATCTACTACTGCAGTATATTGTACAGTTAAATAAATATAACAAATATAGAGAGTAGTATTTAGTAGTTCATTTCATCTGTTAAATTGCTCCTCATCTTAATGTCATTTGTATTTTATTGCGCTTTACATCTGTCGGTCTTATGTCTTTTGTCAAGTACTTTGCCACAGTCGTAATATGTAATTTTTCGAACATTTAATGTTTCCATTTTCCTTAAATTAGTGGATTTAGTTGCTTTCTTTTGGTCTGACATGATAGTAAATTGAATATTTTTGGTTATTGTTTTGGACTGTTGAAATCAAGAACTTAAATCATGTCACCTTGTGCTCTGGGATGGTGTGATGAGCATTTCCAACTATTTTGTAATATTTTACAGACCTATAATAATCGCCAGATTAACCAATAATGACAAATCACTAGTTGCCGCCCTTTTCTTCTCAAACTTGCTCTAATTGTAATGTCTTGCAAAAAAAGGTATGTCATAGGGTCTTACAACTATGTAGCTCAGTAAATTGGGGGATGTATAGTAAAATGCTAAATAAAGACACGTCAAATGGGCTAAATAAGAGGGAAGAAGAGGAGTAGGGATGAAGATATACAGCTAACAGAGTCAGAAAGCTGTTGTACTTCTAGACTTGCAGCAGATCAAAGAGTGCTATTTTTACAGGTGACGCTGAGAACAAAAATGGAAGTGTGTGTCTTGGGAAAGTGTGGAGACTAAATGCTTTCTAGACTTCGCCTTCACTCTGAGGTGGACCTTAGGAAAGAAGAAAGGAAGGGACTTGTGTCACGTTATTGTCATGTAAAACCTCCTACCATCTGATTTCATGATCCTGAAACCCAGATTGTTTTTTCCATCTATTATCAGGGCTAAAACTGGCCATGAAGCGGAGACAAATCCATCAGCATAACCTACAAAAACCTCCCTCTGTGCGCCATACGAGCAGGCCTCACTTCCTTCTTTGTTTGGTTTTGTGGAATAGAGTTTACAACCTTTTAAGGCAGAAATAAATCCCCCTGATGCTGACGGATCACAGCATAACATCATCTGCCATGTCAACATAAAAAGAAGGTAAATATACAGTGCTGAAGGATTAATTATTCCTGCTGGTCGTGTGGATGAGACCGGCATGTTAAACAGCTCATATAGACACTCTCATTTTCTCAAACTTCAAGGAAGCGAGCACCAAGAACGGGTGATGGTAGAGGATTGAAACAAAGAAAATGTGACACTGCAAGCGTGTTTATGTTTATCAGAACTCACTGAGGCAACATACCTCAATCAAACTCTTTGATGATTATTTTTAATTTTTAAGTCCCAGTGAAACTTAAAGGAACAGTGTGTAACATTTAGGGGGGTTTATTGGCAGAAATGGAATATAATATTCATAAATTTTGTGTATAATGACCTGAAACTGTCGCTTAGAAAAAGCCATTTATATCTACATGGGGAGCGAGTCCTCTTCCACGGAGTCCGCCATCTTGCACTGCCATGTTTCTACAGCCGGTATTTACGTTAGCTGAAGGTAGGGATGGGTACCGAAAACCCAGAGTTAAACGGGCCGCGGTGATAAACTATTAAAGAACAGAGTATTGATCATCCCCAACGTTACTGGTGCTTTTTATTTGTAATTAAATGCATTGTTTTGGTTGTAATTTATTACCATTAGTTGGTTGCAATCTGCTCCCACTCACCACTAGATGTCACTAAATTCTACACACTGTAAGAGCGTCTTTAGCTTCTGTACTGTGATGTATTTCACAGTGAAACCTAATATATTTGAGCGGTGAACAAGAGGGATTTTAATCTAACTGTTCACATTGGATTGGACCTAGATGGTCGCCCCCATTTGATACGATGATTTGAAACCGTTTTTACAGAAGTGAAATGACAGGGATATAAAAAATAGAGTTTATATTACTCCAACAAGACTTTCAATGATCCCGACCAAAGAGCATTTGTGTTCACGATGGGATGGCCTCATTAATTCTAAGTGTGTCCCAGTGAGCTCTGATAAACTTTCACATGCTTGCGGTCTTAACTGGCCCTTGGGGAGTGAGTTACCGGAAAAACAAGTGGGCATTTGAGTACTCGCAAATACCGCAAGGGTGGGTACTGGGGCCGCTCTGCAATGTCTTCTATGGGTCTGGAGGAGCTCAGAAAATGTTAGTTTGGGTCTGAAGATTACAAATTAAAACAGAAAACCTGAGCTACAAACAGGAAACGTGGAGTTTCCAAGAAAGTCTGTAACGTAAAGAAGCTGTTGTTCCATTCTAGTTTGACCTTAAAGTCAGGATATCTCCACCCCAACTAAAGTGCAACACGAAATCACTGGAGCAACCTTTTAAATCCTCCCCAATACTCTGATCAGCCAAAACCAATAAAAGCTGGACTGTGAATCATTTTTACATCAGTAAACTATTACCACTTTCGTTTTTAGCACATTAGTATAATTACTGTAAACAAACTGTGAAAGACATCAGTAAAACACATTTGGCAGCCTCCGCTGGGCTCCACTGTTCTTCATTAAAGGTAATTGAAGCTAAATATCTTTGAGACCAAAGCAAAAGGAGGAAAACGTTTCATTATCTTAAGTACGGGGGGCAGGACACGACGGGATTTATGGGAAATGCGATCTGGATTGGAAGCACTAGTGCGAGAAAACACCTTTTTATCTATTGTGCTATTTGTCTGTGGTGACTAAACAATATAATAAATGATTTTACAATATGTGGATGACTGAAAATCAATATAAACGTAGTAGTTGAGAGTATCTTTCACAACAGTCAAAACTAAACACGGAGAAGCAGAATTCAGTTTGTATGCACCACATATCTGGAACTTTCAAGTTTGAATACTTTTCTCATTTCAAAGCCTTTAATTAAATCAAATGAGGGATTATTATTCATATCATGCACTGCTCTGTCGCACCGCTGTAGCTTTCATTCTCCAATCGACAAAGTGAAAACTGTTTTTTGCAAATTTTTGCAAATCTATTAAAAATAAAGAACGAAAACATAACATGTACATAAGTATTCACAGCCTTTGCCATGACACTCAAAATTTAGCTCAGGTGCATCCTGTTTCCACTGATCATCCTTGAGATGTTTCTACAACTTGATTGGAGTCCACTTGTGCTAAATTCAGTTGATTGGACATGATTTAGAACGGCACACACCTGTTTATATAAGGTACCACAGTTGACGGTGCATATCAGAGCATAAACCAAGCCATGAAGTCCAAGGAATTATCTGTAGACCTCCGAGACAGAATTGTATTGAGGCACAGATCTGGCGAAGGGTACAGAAAAATTTCTGCAGCATTGAAAGTCCCAATGAGCACAGTGGCCTCCATCATCCGGAAATGGAAGAAGTTTGGAACCACCAGGACTCTTCCTAGAGTTGGCCGCCCAGCCAGACTGAGCGATCGGGGGAGAAGGGCCTTAGTCAGGGAGGTGACCAGGAACCCGATGGTCACTCTGACAGAGCTCCAGTGTTGTTCTATGAAGAGAGGAGAACCTTCCAGAAGGACAACCATCTCTGCAGCACTCCACAAATCAGGCCTGTTTGGTAGAGTGGCCAGACGGAAGCCACTCCTCAGTAAAAAGTTTTCACTTTCTCATTATGGGTTGTTGTGTATAGAATGTTGAGGAAAATAATGAATTTAATCCATTTTGGAATAAGGCTGTAACATAACAAAATGTGGAAAAAGTGAAGCGCTGTGAATACTTTCCGGATGCACTGTAATTTATACAAATCTATGAACAAATATGAATTTACTGTAGATATATTTTTTTACAAATGTACCAAGAAGTGTGATTAGTATTGTGTATAATAACGGTCATAACGTTTTTACTTTATTTAAAGACCATCATAAAGTATATAAATAAATACAGCAATAGGCCTACACATAAAGCAACAGCTCTATTAACAGAGACGCCACTTGGTTTACATGTGCTCCATAATTAAGAGGCCTCTTCTATCAACGACCCACTCAAACCAGTTTACAACACAGCAGCCACTTACTGGCCACACAGTCATCGATTGAGCTTAAATGGGAGAACTGCGAATTTGGTATAAACAAGTCATTACAGTAGATCGAAGATAAACATAGGAAGACGGGCTCAGAAGAGGAGAGGGGGAATTCCTTCAGGTTTTGACAAATTAAACTGTAGCTCTGCCTCATTTGCGATAATGGAGCCTCTTTACCTCAGAAAATGCTTCATCTCGGCCGCAGTCACCGCTCGGGTTTCTTCAGTGCTGATTGATCACCTGGAGACAGAAAACAAGAGGAGCTGACGGTAGTTTATTTCTTTAATTAATAAATGTCCCAGGATGAGGCCGAGAGAAGCGGTGAGCTCAGGCCCGCAGCTCCGGAGCTGTCCGCGGTGCTGAAGAATGAACGCGCATGTGATCTGCAGGCTGCTTTTTTATTTATTTATTTATTTACCTCGGTGCCCCCGGTATGCAGCGTTTCTGTTCGATCTGTTCAATCGGTGCAATGAAAACAAGAGACTCGCGCTAGCATCCTATTGTGTTTATTCCACCCTTCGGAGAATCATAATCCAGTAAAACCAGCTAATTAATGCTCGATCGTCTCCGGTCTGATTAGCGACCCGAAGCACAGACACTGTGCGTAATCCGTAGCAACAGACGGTGCCTGTAACAGCGCCCGTGCAGACAATACAAGCAATATAACACATTCAATAAAAGACAACGTTTTCCACTTACCGATTGCAAATAATAATAACAGCAGGCAAAACAAAGATGGGGATGCAGCGTTCTGGTCCTCTTCACTCGGCTACAGTCGTCTGCTTTTCGTCCATGATGACAGTCACTGACTGGAGGAGGTTCAAGTCTAAAAGCTACAGCACAGCAATGCAGTGCAGCACACAAAGGGTTAAAGCCATCAGTCACCAATCAATGTGTACATCATTTGTTTCCCACTGTCTTCAGACACGAGCTGGTGGCTAGATTTTACCCTGTAAGGATCCTGAATAACAATATTTTTTTGCATTTGACGGGAACTTTGTAGATAACAGGACTGTCAGCAAAGACTTAAAATGACAAACTTCAAAAGGTCATTTAAATACTGCTGCTGTTGCTGAGACCTGTGATCTCTAGGACAGATTTCTATAAGCAGTCTGTGGGGGCCACACCAGGAGGTCCTTGGCCCCTTACCGTGCCCCTCCACCACCATGTTTCAAATAAATAAATAAATAAATGCAGTAAACTTTTTTGCCACTTGGGGGCAGTGCAACAAGCTGTAATAATTACATTTAAAGTGCATTTTTTTTGACTGGATATTGAACTTTTGGAATGGAGAAATGTCTGGGTGAAACTAAAATTGTAAGAAGAATACACAATGGAGTAAATAGACAGACAAAAATAAATTCCTAACCATACCCATCCCCAATAATGACATATTTGTAAGATTGAGAAATATGTGTGTACAATGCTGTCTGTGTACATACATTCTGGTTAAAGTACTGTGTAGCTCCTGCAATCAACCAGATGCAGTTCACATCCACTTCTGTCCAAAATGTCTTCACTTCATCATTTTATTCTATGCGGCATTTGTGGGAAATTTTTCATAATTACCATACGAATTCTTGAATTACGGCCAAAAATGATTTTTGTGAAGTCTCACTGACCTTTGACCAAAACGCTACTCAGGTCATCCTCGAGTCCAAGAGGACGTTTGCACCAAATTTGAAGAAAGTCCGTCTCTGCGTTCCTGAGAATATTGTGTTGAAGAGAACAGGACGGATGTACGGAGGCAACACAATGCCTCTGGCCACAGTTGTTGGGCCAGAGGCATAAATGAATACATTCATTTATTATAATAGCACATTAATAATCACTGACTGTCGTAGAACAACCACACAGACACATTTAAAGTGTAAATTGGGAAATGATGACGACCCAGGTTAATATAAAAATCGATTTAATTGTAAAAAGTCAAACTTCTGCACGTCAACATGCTTTACAGTTTATTTGGTAGAATACCAAACAAAAATTGTAACGGCACCATAGGCAACAATAATACAACTTTGTGACTGTTTTCAAAGTTAAAACAATGACAGAACACAGTGGCGGCTGATGTATTTCTTAAAATACAAAATACATCGATTGTGGAAAAGGAGAAAGGAAGTAACACATCTGTTTTGACAGAATAAATAGAAGTGCATTGTTTGTGTTGAACACGTCGACATCCAGTACACGTGGAGTATTACATGACGTTTGATCCCCGTTAATAAAGAAAAATACAAAAACATAAATAGGAATGAAAAATATGTCTATGCAAACTCTTACTTTCTGTCGGAGAGAAAGAAAACATGTACTTGTGTGAGAATGTCAAAGTTAGTCCTCTTCAAAGTGACCTATAATAGAGGAAAACAAAAACCCACACCTCGGAGTGTTGCACTCGATCAGCTTTAAGCGACCTCCTTCACAGCGCAGCCACAGCAGCCGGCATCTCAGTTCTCGGAGCGTCTCTGCACTGCAGACAGTAACTGGTCCGAGGAGCTCTCAGCCGTGAGGTCGGCGAACACCTCGGCCGGCTCGTCCCCGCTGGAGCCGGACTCCGGCAAAGCAGAGTACGTGGGGACGGCGTTGAACATGACGAAACCCACAGTGATGATGACGAACGACATGATGTACAGCGGTGAAAACTGAGGACGAGACACGAGACAGACATGTTAACGTTGAATATTATCATCTTGCTTTTTCCCACTCTAACAACTACTGCTGGATTTTTGCTACAGTGTCTTTTTTAATGATCTATATCACCTCCTGCTGCTAAAAATGAGGGTCAAAGAAAAGTCCTGCTGTTGTGAGTCTGAAGCAGAGCTGCATAAACTTGTCTTCTCCAGGAATGATATAAAAGGCACGCAACATTAAAGCGGGACTTCGAAACACGCTTCAAGGCAGCAAAGAGGCTATAAATCCCATCGAATGTGATTAAGCATCCTGACGGCAACATTATGGCCGCTTCTCTGGTCCCACTCACTGTGCAGTGGAAGAGGAAGATGCCACAGAAGAGGCTGAAGAGGTCGGCGGTAAGCAGAGAGAGGTTGACCGCGGTAGCGCTGGTCATCTTCACCACCACAGGCATGAAGCTGTACAGGGCGTACATACACAGGGCGTAGACCGCAAACAGCATGGCTGCAGGAGACAAGGAACAGACTATAGTAAGACACGCATCACACCTTCAACACACTCGGATTTAACAAGACAAGGAAGCTAACTTACAGATGTGAAAGTCCCATTTTATTGCCGCTACTGCACGAGTTTCCAGGACGGCTCTGTAACGCAAAGTTAGCATGGTGTGAAAAACGCTTCTCTTTCACACTTTAACATAAAAATACCCTAAAACCAAATAAAGTGCCTTTTTTATTGTCGCCTTAAGTGTGTATTTTTGTAGTATGTTGGTGACATATTTGTCTTGATCAGTTGACCTAAAAACACTATATGTATTACATATCAGATTATTATAGACATTATTCTGGGAACTTGTAAGAGTCATGCAGACACATATATTCAACCCTATAGGATTATTTAATATATGAGGGATTCAAGAAATAACCCACAGCTGTATGCCGCTGATGAGGGTCCCAAAGAGGCCCATCATGCCCAGGAATTCGATCTGGCTCAAGTTCTTCACTGTGTACTCTTGGCACACATTGGACACCGCATAGAAGACGGCACTGAGCAGCACCAAACCATCTCCCAGCACCACATCACTGGCTGCACAGAGAGAGAGAGAGAGAAGGGCAGTTATACTGTAGATAGACATGTTACAGGTTAATAACATTAATATAGAAACCACCGAGCAAGAGGTACAATGATATTACCATCATGTTATGATCAGGACTCAAACTCACTCAGCTGGTGCTCGTCATAGTCAAATGTTCTCAGGGCCGCGTTTGTGCATTCAGAGCAGAAATGCAACGATTATTTTTCTGCTCGCTCTGTTCACACGTGTGACGTGCGAGCGCCTGGTTATTTATGTGCATGGGTTAATACTAATTAAACTCCATACGGGTGTGCGTAGCGGTGCTCAGCTCATTGCGTGTGTACGTAGCGGCTGAAAGCTTGACGAATCGGTCCATTTAGCTGTTAATGGGCTCCAAAAATGGAGCAATCTATAACAGACTCCTTTTTTTTTTTTTAAAAGCAAAGAGAGGAGAGAGAGAGGAGGGGAGGTTTGTGGAGAGGGAGAGACAACGAGAGGATCTGACTCACTGATGATGAAAGTTCAGGCGGGGAGAGACTGACTGAGCCAGCGTCATTGATTAATACCAGTGATGATGACAGAAGTGCAAAGATCTTATATTAAGTAAAAGTGCTATTACCACAATTACCAAAATACTCTGTTACAAGTAAAAATCTTACTTGAATCAAATAGATAGTAATGATTTTCTTTATTTTTAAAGTGTCCTTACTGGATCCCTGGTCTCTTCCAGCCAGGATGTCGGCTCCGACCATGGCCCCCACCCCCAACAAGCACACCGCCACGGCTACAAAGTGGACCAGCCTGTAGCGAGTCTTCAGGAAGAACCAGGCCAGTACCATCAGCACGGGGATCACGAAGCAGTCCAGCAGCTGAAACACACAGGATAATGGACATTGACTTCAACCATATAGATACACAATAAATAACAGACTTCATCAGGTCACTGTCCTGTTTATGTTAAAGCATGTGTTCACACAACCAGCACCCTGAGCTGATGGATCCGGACTGTTGTCTCTCACCTGTATACTTGTCAGCGTGGTGAACTGGTAGGCCTTCACAACTGCATAGTTTGCCTCGACGTCTGCCAGACCCATCACCAAATACTTCCACCATTTCGTTTTTAGAATTTGCAAGATGTTCCTGTCACCTGTAGAAACCGAGAAGGTTTACTTCAGAGTAGGAATGGTGAACACATTTTTCCAAAAGATACTTTTGAACACAATTTTTCACACAAACTGTCCCTTTAATGGGTTTACATACAAATAGACTAAATGTAGCATAATTACATTAAACAGTTCCACACTGGTCTTGCATATGTGCTTCCTGATTATTCTAGACCAAAATGTCAAAAATATGTCACAGCTTGTGCTATAACTTGTGACCATTTTTGTCTTATTTTATAATACATTTTAATTAAAGCTGCTATAATCAACATTTGTTTATACTAACAATGTGCATTGTATGTGAAAGGTGTCGCTCTTAGTTTTGGCTCACTCTCACTGTTAATCTGTGTATTTTCCAGCTGCTGCAGTCAGCTGTTTTGTGCAAAGAAATCTCTAAAATCCCCCTATGCACTATAATAATATCTGCTTGGCAGCAAAAAGCAGACAGACATAGTTAGCGACTATCTGGAGAACACAATGGAGCATTTAGCAGCTAAAGAGTCAGGTACTTTACTCAGGAGTTGGTTTAAAGAAAAACCTCTGAATGAATGTCAGTGTTTTTCTGCATCAGTTGTGTATTTTTACAGGTTGTAGCTGCTGCCCCCACATGGTCAAAAAACAATTTACTGCAGGTTTAAAAGATAAAAAGAGAACGATTACAAGTCCAGACATGCTGACCTTTGCGTGTGCCGAGGATGGTCGTATAGACGAGCAGCAGCAGGACGTAGTTGAAGAAGCTCTGCAGCATGGGCGTCTCCACCTTGGCATCGGCCAGGTACTGACAGCTCACTGCCGTGCCACAGATCAGCAGGGACAAGACCTGCCCCATTAAGATGGTCTTCAGCAGACGCCTGGAGGGTCAGGGAGAGCGCCACATGTCAACTACAATGCAAAATGCAATGCAACAGCCCCACCTGTTGACTCTTTGTCAGACTCGTGAAGGAAGGTGCTCCAAGGGGAAAGGAAGCCGAGTCTGGAGGCACCCTCTCACTTTACATTCCAGAGCTCACCTGGGTGTGGTCAGAAATGTGCATTTACCACACGTGTAACCGCACGTGTAACCACACCCACCAGTGATGTCACAGTGTACCGACACACCCTGGAGTACACTTCTACATCACTGCAATGAGATGACAAGTTAAACCACTAGAGGTCAGTATAATAAAGAGTTTACAGGGTGTTGAGGGGAGAAACTACAGGTTAATGGGGCAAAACATTTTGGTAATAGATATATCACCATGAAACTTATTATTATTATTATTATTATTATTATATACATTAATGTACTAGTTAAGCTTTCATCATGCATTCACTTGTTCATAAGACGGATAAGTACTCACCATGTGAAGACATCCCGCAAGTTGTAACTGTACAAACCGCAGGCAAACCTCCACTTCCCACAGTGTCTCTCCTCCTCATCATGCGCTTCCATATCTTTGAGAGCTAAACCTAGGAGTAAGGAAAAAAATATGAAAATTACAATCTTGGGGGGGGGGGGGGGGGATTTGTGTCTTTAAGGCTTACTGTCCTCCATCAGATTAATGTCACCCAAGGAGAACATGGTACCAAATCTCCACAGGAATGTGATGAGGCTCATGTGACTGATGAGGCTCATAATATGACTCCCATGGTCCACCATAAATAGGACAAAGCATGAGTGCAAAACATAAATCGAACAACCCGCATAGGCGCTACAGCACTGCACTTGGACGTCATCCAACTAGCAGGGTTGGTTTACAATACAGGCAGTGGCTCCATTAGTGAACATGCAAGCACATTTTAGGAATATTTAACTGAGATAAGCCATACTTATGACATTTGATGCAAGCCGAATTTGAATATAGCCCCTTGTAATCTGCAATATGGCGTTAAATATGTTTAAACAGCCATTAACAAGTGACTATAACCACAGCAATATTAAACTGTCACTTTTTCAATGCAGTTTGGCGTTGACAGAGTCATTCATCGGGCTTTCCCGAAACTACAAATAGCTAAATATAACCGTAACGCAAGTACAAGCTATATTATGATCAAGTACAAATACTGTAAGTGTACATACGTTTTCTGTTTCCTCTTCAGTCATGACAAGTGTGGGTAAACTCTCCAGCTGATAAGCAAGTCCATGCTTCTCACAAACGACGATCCACGTTTGTCCCTCAACCTAAGTAAGTAAGTCAACCTAGCCTCGTGCTGTCTAGCCCCGCCTTCTGCGCTCTGATTGGTCCAAATAAAAAACTAAATGACGTCTGCACTGCGAAGTCAAACTTGGTCTGGTGCTGATGAGAATCAACATATACATATACATATATATATATATATATATGTATATGTATATATATGTATATGTATGTATATGTACATGATATGACAATATATATATATACTGTATATATAATGCATTGCATGCAACATTTGACAGAGAAGTTACACATTGCTATACCTCAGCTAGCTCAGCCAATAATAGCCAAACAATAATAATATTATTATTATTAATAATAATACAAATAAAAGCAATGCTAATAAAAACAATAATACTAATGCTGCAGCTCAAAGTGCTTTACTTTAAAACAGTAAAAACAGGCAACACAAATTAACTTAAAAAAGAATACAGGTAAAGTTAAAGGGTTTATAGCCTAATAACTCCTGAAATGAACCATTCTGCACAATAAGTATTTTTACTTTTCATTATCTCTGTGTGCTTTGCTGTTAATACGTTTCCTGAATTCATGACTTGTAATAGAGTCTTTTTAAATTATGATGTTGATTCTACTGTTAAGTAAAGGATCTAAGTGCTTCTCCCACCACCAAGCAAATATGGCAAGCAACTTTTAATGAATCTTTAGCGTTTCATTTCTCAAACTACAATTTCAACTTATATAATTCTCACAGCACAATTTTTTCATTTGTTCCTTATGTGACAGATACAATCTTGTTGCGTGAGACAGCATTTGATGGCCAGACAGAGAAAGAATGATAACAAACATTCTGATTGTAAGAAACAATAACTGTCCTTGAATCTGTGCAAACACTGTTTTCTTGCCTCCAGCTACACGCACCATACATACTACAAGTTGCACTGAGAGTGGAGTAAAGGTCATTCAAAAGTAGAAAATAAATGATGAGGTAAAGCAACAGATGCACTGGATGTGACAGAGGAAGAAGTATTCAAATCCTTTACTTAAGTGAAAGTACAAATACTATAGTCCAAGAAAGTACAAGTCCTGAATTCAAAATGTTACTCAAGTATAGAGAAGTTTAATTAGAGAAATGTCGTTAAAGTATCAGAATGAAGTACTGTTAAATGCCTCTGCCATACTGACTATATTGAGTATATTTTATTCTATTTCATAACAATATTCCACTACATCTCAGAGGGAAATACTATCTACTCCAGTACTTTGATCTGACAGTTATAGGCCTACTGATTCCCTACAGATTCAGATTATCAACAACAAATATAACTTTTAAACGACAATAGAAAAACAACTATGTAAAGTATTTCAAATTAGCATTAGTGATGCATATACATAAATGCGTCAATAATTATAATATAATAATATAATATTAGTTTTCTGAAATAGGCCATTTTGCATAATGAGTACTTTTACTTTTACTTAAGTATATATTGTATACATGTTTACCTCAGTAGAATTTTTAATACAGGACCTATTTCTTCACTGGTGCTTTTATTTAAGTGAAGGTTATAACATTTAAATAATAACTGATAAATAAGTAAAGGGACATACGCTAAAGAATAAAATCAACATAATGGTTTTAACTGGTGAACGCCTCTGTTGTTTATCTATATTTAGAAAGAGTCCGCGATGTGAGAAGGCTTATCTCCATGCTTCCTGGAGTTCTCGCGAGATTTTACGAGAGGATAAGTTGAGGGGAACATGGCGACGTCTAATTTGCTAAAGGTAGGACCCAGTTCAATTCAATTTTTTTGTGTTCAACGCTCGCTTAAAGTGCGTGTCAGTCGCGTGGTGTGATGTTGGCGTTTAGCTCCAAACTTAACGAACACCACACTGCACCTGTGCTGTCAGTGTTGACGTGAGCTCGGAAGCAGTGAAGTTACATCTGGCTAACATTAGCTACTTATCACTGATTTAAGCTAAATATAATAGCTACACCACAGCTAACTAAATATGAAGGAAATAGGCAAGACACGGTGAACCCGGAGGGACCGATAACGAATGTGAGACGTATCGTTAGCTTTAACCTGCCCTGATATACATTCACATTATCTGTGTTAATGTCACACGCTAGCTACAGACCTCACATATCATCTGTCTTCAGTGACACGAATCAGCAGAAGACCACCCTCTCTGAAAGACATGCTAAAGGCTGACAACAGCAACTGTCGCAGCAGGTTTTCTGTGCATTGTGTGAACGCTAATCCCCAGCTGCTATCTTGCGAACTAAGTTTAGCTTTACAGGGTCCTCGGGGGGAATGTGTCTTTAATTAAATCAAAAATGGCATTGCAGTCAAAACAGAAGACTTTTGCAATTGAAAATAAGTGTCTGTGTGTACAGTGTGTGCAGACAGGCAATCACCCAGTGCATCAATTACTATCTCTATTCTGTTCTACCTTGCACTGTACTAATCCAAATACACTTTACAACAAGTATATAGAACAAAGCACACAGCAAGCAAATCAAATAAACATTAACAGTACAACAACCACATTAAAACATCAATGTTAAATGGATGTTGATCAGTCAAAAAGCTCTTATCAGGACTATTCCAGCTATATGATTGGGTCTTAAAACCTTATTTTATTAAATCAAATCTTAAGAACATTTCAGTGCAGTAAGTAACATTTTACATTGAAAACATGCTGGAATATTCTTAAGGCACTTATTGAGAAAATAAGGATTTAACTAAGTACACTTTCTCAAGTACTGTAGTCGGCTTTTGAGGTACTTGTACTTAATACTTCTATTATTGCATCAATAATTATAATCCGATGATATATTATTCTAATATGGGCCATTCTGCATAATGATTATGTATGTACTTCTTTAACTTTAAGTAGGTTTTTCTGCTGATATGTACCTTTAATTTAGCAGGAGTTTGCATGCTTTTAACACAGTGTTCCTGCACTATAGCATTGGTACTTTAACTTAAGTAGAAGATCTGAGCACTTCACAAGCATGATGACATTCGTAGACTGTAGGTAGGTAGAACATGATTTAATATGCTAGTTTGGCATGTTTTAGACTCGTAATGTATACTTTACACCACAGCCTGATTCCCTTAACCTCTAAATTCAGTCCAGAAGAATCTAATACCGTTACAACCCAAGTTGTAATACATGAACAAACCCAAGTAAGTGTTTGTTCATGTGCAAACACTTACTGTTTGCACACTGCAATGACAATACAGTGGAATCTCATCTAATCCTTAGTATACCGTTAAATTGTAACTTACCCTAATATTTAGTTGTTTTTGTGTCGTTGCCTTACCTTGGCATAAAAAGCTCATGAACAGTTTGAATCGACTTCCCTCCTGTCTGTTTTCAGAACAAAGGCTCTCTTCAATTTGAGGACAAATGGGAGCTGATGCGTCCGATAGTTCTGAAGCTGCTGCGGCAGGAGTCCGTCACCAAACAGCAGTGGTTCGACTTGTTCTCGTGAGTTCACTGTAATGCGTCTGCTGTCGGCTCAGGGATTGATGGTGAATTTGTTAAGAAAGGTCATTCCTCATTGGTCCACAGAGACGTCCATGCTGTGTGCCTGTGGGATGACAAAGGTCCAGCTAAGATCCACCAGGCCCTCAAAGAGGACATCCTAGATTTCATCAAACAAGCACAAGCAGTAAGACCATAACGGATATTTGTGTGTCTTTCTAATTCTCCCCATCATCATAGACTGTTCTTCTTGCTTAATATCTGTCAGTTAGATTCTGCGGGTTTCAATCAGCCCTGTCTTGTGTTCCTCACCGTTTCTAAGCGGGTGTTGAGTCACCAGGACGACACGGCGTTGCTGAAGGCCTACATCGTGGAGTGGAGGAAGTTCTTCACGCAGTGCGACATCTTGCCCAAGCCTTTCTGTCAGCTGGAGATCACGCTGATGGGCAAGCAAGGAAGCAACAAGAAGTCCAACGTGGAGGACAGCATCGTCCGCAAAGTGAGGAGGAGGAGGAGGAGTGGGAGGAGTGGGCGAAAACTAAATAAGCATGTTGTGCATGTCGTCGTGTTCTGACTGTGTGTCTCTCGGTCTCTTCAGCTGATGCTGGACACGTGGAACGAGTCCATTTTCTCCAACATCAAAAACAGGCTGCAAGACAGCGCCATGAAGCTCGTCCATGCTGAGCGGCTGGGAGAGGCCTTTGACTCCCAGCTGGTCATCGGAGTGAGAGAGTCGTACGGTGAGACACACAGGAACGCACGGTTTTATTAGAGTAGCTTATGTTTCCCAACTTGCTATACTACAGCGTTGATGAATCCAAATGGCATTTAAGATACTTTCAAAGAGTATCATAATATCATGTGATCGTGGACTCCCAAGTTTATCTGAAAAATGGTTCCTTCTCCTTCACCATACTGCTCACAGCTATAGTTATAACTGCTAAATACTACAGGAATGTGAGGAAATCTAACTTTGGGTATTTAACTTGTTCAGTTTTAGTTCATTTCATAATTTGTGTCCTTCATTGTGAGAAGTTTCTTCGATGTCCCCCCCGCTCTTGTCCCCATGACCTGTCCCCATGACCTGTCACTATCAATGCGGCTTAAATACCTCGTGATCAGTATTAATCAGGTTTTATTTTCTGCCCTTCACTATGGGATGGCTGTTACATATTGTGACTTCAACTGCAAGTTCTGCCGTTTGAACTGTTTATCTCTTTTATCTCGATCTACTGTATATCTGAAGGCTGCAGACACATGTTGACCTCTCCATATCTTTTTCTGTGTTTTGTCTCTGAGCAGTGAACTTATGCTCCAACCCAGACGACAAGCTGCAGATCTACAGGGACAACTTTGAGAAGGCGTATATGGATTCTACTGAGAGGTTCTACAGAACACAGGCGCCCGCCTACCTCCAGCAAAATGGGGTCCAAAACTACATGAAATATGTGAGTATCCGTGGCTTTGAGGAGAACTGGATGCTGCGTTCCAACATGGTGGCCCGGTACTTCCTGTGAAAGATGCTCTGTGTGTGTGTGTGTATATGTGTGTGTGTATATGTGTGTGTGTATATATGTGTGTGTATATATGTGTGTGTATGTATGTATATGTGTATATATGTATATGTGTATATATGTATATGTATATGTATATGTTTATATATGTATGTGTATATATATGTATGTGTATATATATGTATATGTATATATATGTATATGTGTATATATATGTATATGTATATATATGTATATGTGTATATATATGTATATGTGTATATATATGTATATGTGTGTATATGTGTATATGTGTACATATGTATATGTGTACATATGTATGTGTGTACATATGTATATGTGTGTACATATGTATATGTATATGTATATGTATATGTGTATATATATATATATGTGTATATATATATATATATATATATACACATATATATATATATATATAC